AAAAACATCTTTTCTATCATCATTCCTTTCGTATCTCTTTCGTATACTTCTCTTTTTTGCTTCTACTTTTGTCTCCACCTCATGTCTCTTTCGCCCTTTTCTCTCTCCTATCTTTACTGTCTTGTGTATTTGAGTACGAAAGTGGGAGTAAAAAGAGAACGAGAAAACGAGCGGAGAGAACGGGAGAACTAAAGAACGAGCGAATGTGAGAATAAAAGAATGAGAGAACAAGAGAAACAACGAATGTCCGGAGGAAAAAACAAGCAAGAGAACGAACCAACACGAATAGAGAACGAGAGATTGAGCGAAGGAGAGAACAAACGAACGAGCGAACGAAAGATAAGAGCGAAGGAAAGAGTGAAGGAGGGAACGAGCGAACGGAAGATAAGAGCGAAGGAAAGAGTGAAGAAGGGAACGAGCGCACGAGAAAAGAAGAGAACGAGAGAACGGATGAACGAGAGAAGAGAACGAGAACGGACAACCGAAAAAAACAAACGAATGAGCGAAGGAAAGACCGCGCAAACGAGAGAAAGAGAACAGGAGAACGAGCGAACGAGAAAAGAAGAGAACGCGAGAACGAGAACGAACGAAAAGGAAAGAACGCAAGAACGAGAACAAGAGAACGAGCGAACGAGAAAAGAAGAGAACGAGAGAACGAGAAATTAAAAGACGACGCGAAACGAGGAGAGAGGAGAGACGAGAGACGCGCGCGAACGACGAGCGCGCGGAGGAGCGAGAACAAGAGAACGAGCGAGCGAGCGCGCGCGTCGTCTGCCCCATTGTCACCGGGCACCTTTGAACAAGCCTTCCGTCCGCTTTGATCTCAATTTTCAGGTATCAAAACGTCGGCCGGGATGCATAATTCCCACTTGTTGGCTCCCTGGGCTCGCCTCCCCGTCCTCCCTCCCCTCCCCCTCTGCCTTCCTCCTCCTCCCTCCTCCCCTCCCCTCCCTCTCCTCCTCGCCTGCCTCTCCCCCTCTGGGCCTCCCTCCTCTCGACTCTTCCTCCTCTCCTCCTCCTCCTCCGGTATTCTCTCTTTCTTGGGTTCTGTCTTCTCTTTCGTCTTTTCGCTCTCGGGGATTTCTCTCTGTCTCTCACTCGCTGACTCTTTCTCTCTCCGACTCACTCTCTTTCCCTCACTCTCGCCTCTCTCTTTCTCACTCTCTTTTTCACTCACTCTCACCATCTCTCTATCTTCTCACCCTCTCTCTTCACTCTCACCTCACATCACTCTCACCTCTCTTCTTTCTCAACTCTTTCACTCTCACTCATCTCACTCTCACCTCTCTCTTTCTCACTCTCACCCTTCTCTCTCTCACCTCACTTTCACCCTCGTCTCTCTCATCTCTCACCTCTCGTTCTTTCTCTCTCCTCACTCTCATCGCCTCTTCTTCCTCACTCTCTCCTCTCTACTCTCATTTCTCACCTCTCTCTTTCTCACTCTCACCCTCTCCTCTTTGTCATCTCACCTCTCTCTTTCTCACTCTCACCACATCTCTTTCACTCACTCTCACCTCTTCTTTCTCACTCTCACTCCTCTCACCCTCTCTCACTCTCACTCTCACTCACTTTCCAAACCTCTCTCTCTTTCTCTCATACCCTCTCTCTTTCTCACTCACTCACTCAACTCTCTTCTCACTCTCACCCTCTCTCTTTCTCACTCTGCACTCACTTTCACCTCTCTCTTTTCACTCTCACTCACTCTATTTCACTCACTCTCACCCTCTCTCTTTCTCACTCTCACCCTCTCTCTTTCTCACTCTCACTCCTTTCACCCCTCTCTTTCTCACTCTCACCCTCTCTCTTTTCACTCTCACTCACTCTCACCTCTCTCTTCTCACTCTAAACCTCACTCCTCCTTTCTCAATCTCATCCTCTCTCTTTCTCACTCTCACTCTCTCTTTCCATTCCTCACCCTCTCTTCTTTCTCCACTCTCACCCTCTCTCTTTCTCACTCTCACCCTCTCTCTTTCTCACTCTCACTCACTCTCTTTCACTCGACTCTCAACCCCTCTCTTTTTCACTCTCAACTCACTCTCATCCTCTTCTCTCTTTCTCACTTCAACCCTTTCTCTTTCTCCAATTCTCACTCCTTTCTTTTTCTCATCTCACTATCTCTTTCTCACTCTCACCTTCTCTTTCTCACTCTCACTCACTCTCTATCTCACTCTCACTAAATCAACATTAGCATAATAAAAAAGAGAAAAAATCCATCAAAATCCCTTACCCAAAACCCAATCAATGAATAGGAGAAAAAAATCTCATAAAAAAACATCAACGTAATAAAAAACAAACAAACAAGAACAACAACAACAAAAACACTCGCGAATTTCCAAACAAACACGAACAAGAACAGCAAAAAAACACTACGAATTTCCTATCGAGGAAAAGAGCGCCGTCTCGAATGTACTTGGGCGTGGAACGGACGTCGCGGGCGTAGCGGGTGGCGCACCTGCTTCTTCTTGCGGCCGGTGCGTCCTGGCGGTTGTAGTTCCTCTCCCGCATGCCCCACTCGTAGCCGGACTGGTAGCCGCACTTCTGCCGGATCTGGGAGTTCTTCGATTCGATGACGAAGTGGGGGTGCTTGGGCTGCGGGGGGGGAAGAAGGTGGAGAAGCTGAGATTGGGTGGTGGTGGTGGGGGGGGAGGTGAGATTGAGTGGTGGTGGTGGGGGGGAGGTGGAGGTGAATTGGGTGGTGGTGGTGGGGGGGAGTTTGGAGAAGGTGAGATTGGGTGGTGGTGGTGGGGGGAGGGGGAGTTGGAGGTCGAGATTGGGTGGTGGTGGTGGGGGGGAGGTGGTAGGTGAGATTGGGTGGTGGTGGTTGGGGGGAAGGTGGGAGGTGAGATTGGGTGGTGGTGGTGGGGGGAGTTGGAGAAGGTGAGATTGGGTGGTGGTGGTGGGGGGGAAGGGGGGAGTTGAGTTGAGATTGGGTTGGTGGTGGTGGGGGGGAGGTGGAGGTGAGATTGGGTGGTGGTGGTGGGGGAGGTGGAGGTTGAAGATTGGGTGGTGGTGGGTGGGGGGGAGGGGGAGTTGGAGGTGAGATTGGTGGTGGTGGTGGGGGGGAGGTGGAGGTGAGATTGGGTGCGTGGTGGTGGGGGGGGGGGGAGTTGGAGTGAGATTTGGGTGGTGGTGGTGGGGGGGAGTTGGAGGTGAGATTGGTGGTGGTGGTGGTGGGGGGGGGAGTTGGAGGTGGAGATTGGGTGGTGGTGGTGGGGGGGGGGAGGTGGATTGGGGTGGTGGTGGTGGGGGAGGTGGAGGTAGATTGGGTGGTGGTGGTGGGGGGGAGGGGGAGTTGGAGTTGAGATGGGTGGTGGTGGTGGTGGGGGGGGGAAGTTTTTTTGATCTCGTGTTCAGGGTCGAATCTTTTATATTTGGGGGTTGACATGATGGAATTTTTTTTTTTTAATTTTTATTCACTTATCTGTTTCGACACAAGGTAATGGAGATGAAGCTGATGTGTAGTTTTTTTTTTTTTTTTTAGGCTCGCATTTCCTTTTCTGTCACGGACTGGACTGAAGATGTTTTAGGACTATCATTACTAATTCCTTTTATTCACTTATCTAATAGACAGCTATCATAGCAAATACATCTAAGATTAGACAAAAAGGGTCACAGACTGACGGTGCACATCAACGAAATCCCCCCCCCCCATATGCCCTTAAAAAATAATAATATAAAAAAGTAATAATAATAATAATAAAATCTGCCAGTATACCTTTGCCTCCCCCATCCCCCCTCCCCCCGCCATTAAATGCAAGTAAACTCCCATGCAAGTCGTAGGCAAAGAGGAAAGAAGACACCTTCAACATCTAGAGCCTTCGGAGATGAAGACCCGAAGAGAGGCAGTGATAATAAGGGGAGTATGGTTAAGAGGAAGAAGAGAAGTGGGGAAAAGCTGATACGAAGGAGGAGGAGGAGAGGAGGAGGAAAAGAAGGAGGAATAGGAGTAGGAGTAGGAGTAGGTACAGCAGCAGCAGCAGAAGCAGCGGCGGTAGCAGTAGTAGAAATAGTAATAAGTAGTAGTAGTAGTAGTAGTAGTAGTAGTAGTAGTAGTAGTAGTAGTAAGTAGTAGTAGTAGTAGGAGGAGGAGGAGGAGGAGGAGGAGGAGAAGGAGGAGGGGTGGAGGAGGAGGAAGGGGTGGAGGGAGAAGGACAAAGGAAGGAGGAGAAGGAGGAGGAAAAGGAAAAGACAGAGGATGAGAAAAAGTTAAAATACAGATGAGGATGAGAAGGACAAGAAGAGAAGGAAAATGTGGGAGATATGGAGAAGAAAAAGCCGGCAAGAAAATGAGAAAAAAAGGAAAAAGACAGGAAGAGAAGGAAGAAGCAGGAGGAAGAATAGGAAGAGATGAAGGAAGCTAAGCAGAAGGAAGATATGGAAGAGAGTAAGCAGGAAGAGGCAGCAGGAGAAGGAGGAGGAGGAGAAGAAGGAGGAGGAGAAAAGAGGAGGAGAAGGAAGGAGAATAAGGAAGAGGAGAGGAGGAGAAGGAGGAGGAGAAAGGAGGAGGAGGAAGGAGGACGCAATATAGGCCGTATATGGTGGACAAGGCCTCGTCTGGAGTGGCTTCTGGCCTTCTCGCTCCGGCCTCCTGCGCATTTCTCTGGCTCGCTCTCTCGCTCTCTCTCTTTCGCCTTATTGCTTTCCCTTTTGTTCTGTCTCTTTGACTGTCTGGGCCCTTTCCCCTCTCTTGAAGGGTAAGACTGTCTTCCTTCTTCTCACTCTTTCCCTATTTCTGTTGGTAGTGCGCGCGCTCTCTCTCTCCCTCCCCACCCCCCTCTCACACTCTCTCTCCCCCACACCCCCTCTCACACTATCTCTCTCCTCTCCCTCTCCCCCCTCCCCTCTCTCTCTCCTTCCATCCCTCCTTCCTCTCCCTCCCCCCCTCCTCTCTCTCTCCTTCCATCCCTCCTTTCCTCTCCCTCCCCCTCCACCTCTCCTCCCTCCCTCCATACCTCAGTCATCAACAGAATTTCCATCGTGCCATTAAACATTCATTATAAGTGTCACATCTGATTTAACCGTCTCATCTCCATACTTGATTTTTTTTTCTTTTGTAATAACCATAATAATGCATATGAAGAGGTGCCGTGCCGTGTTTGTGTGTTTATGGCTAGCTCGAGAGGCGGTAAAATGGATGTCGAAGGAGAGGGGGAGGGAGGAGACGAGACGGAGAGGGAGAGGGAGATTGAGATTGAGAGGGTGAGGGAGGGAGGCAAGGAACGAGGGGGAGAGGGGAAGGTGACGTGAGTGGGAGGGGAGGGGGAGGGGAGGGAGGGAGGGAGGAGGGAGGGAGAGAGAGAGAGAGAGAGAGAGAGAGAGAGAGAGAGAGAGAGAGAGAGAGAGAAGAGAGAGAGGAGAGAGAGAGAGAGAGGGAGAGAGAGGGAAGAGAGGGAGAGAGAGGGAGAGGAGGGAGGGAGGGAGGGAGGGGAGAGGGAGGGAGAGGAGAGGGAGAGGAGAGAGAGAGAGAGAGAGAGAGAGAGAGAGAGAGAGGGAGAGAGAGAGAGGAGAGAGGGAAGGGAGAGAGAGAGAGAGGGAGAGGAGAGAGAGAGAGAGAGAGAGAGAGAGAGAGAGAGAGGAGAGAGAGAGAGAGAGAGAGGAGAGAGAGAGAGGAGAAGAGAGAGAGAAGAGAGAGAGAGAGAGAGAGAGAGAGAGAGAGAGAGAGAGAGAGAGAGAGAGAGAGAGAGAGAGAGAGAGAGAGAGAGAGAGAAAGTGAAGTCCATGTTATCTATCTTTATCGCTTAACCCTATTCTATACGTAAAACACAATCTTCCCACTTCCACATCTAACCCATAAATGTTGCTTTCATTAACTCGCAACAGATGGCGCTGCGCTTCGATTCCAGTCCCATTTTCTTTCGTCAGCAATCCCAGCCATACATACGCCATCGATAATGTCCCCGACAACCTATCCCGTCCTATCTTTGTGGGAAATAAATGCTATCCCGCAAAAGAGGGTTAAAATGCCAAATTGGAATCCCGTGATAGATCCTTAATGAGCGGAGAGGGAGAGGAGAGAGGGAGAGGGAGGAGAGAGGGGAGGAGAGAAGGGAGAGGAGAGGGAGAGAAGAAGAGAGGGAGAGGGAAGAGGGGAGAGAGGGAGGGAGGAAGAGAGGAGAGAGGGAGAGGGAGGGAGGAGAGGAGAGAAGAAGAGAGGGAGGGAGAGAGGGAGAGAAGAAGGGAGGGAGAGAGGGGAGAGGGAGGAGAGAGGGAGAAAAGAAGGGAGGGAAAGAGAGAGGAGAGAGAGAGAGAGAGGAGAGAGAGAGAGAGAGAGAGAGAGAGAGGAGAGAGAGAGAGAGAGAGAGAGAGAGAGAGAGAGAGAGAGACGTATATCAGAGAGTGCAAGGAAACACCTGTAGCTTGGCGCACAATAGCAAGGGGCTGAGGCTTCGCTAGCATAATGGCCGCGTGGAGTGTCCTCGCTGCCTTCTGTTCTCGGTCGGGCCTCGCGTTTCCTCTTCGCTGCGGGGTTTCAGCTGCACTTCCTCTTAGCTGGGGGTTTCACTTGTTTTTTTTTTTCTTTTAGCTGTGGTGTTTCACCTGTACTTTCTTCTTAGCTATGGGGGTTTCAGCTGCACTTTCTCTCCCCTGTGGTGTTTCATCTGTACTTTCCTCTTAGCTTCGGGTTTCAATTCCGTTTTTTTTCCTTTTAGCTGTGGGTTTCACTTGTTTTTTCCGTTTTTGCTGTGGGTTTCACTTGCTTTTTTTTCCTTTTAGCTGTGGGTTTCATTTGTTTTTTTCCCTTTTAGTTGTGGGTTTCACTTGTTTTTTCCCTTTTCGTTGTGGGTTTCACCTGTATTTTCCTCTTACCTGTGTGTTTCACTTCTGTTTTTTTCCTTCTAGCTGTGGGTTTCACCTGTACTTTCCTCTCAGCTGCAGTGCTTCAGCTACACTTCCTTCTTCGCTGTGGGGTTCCATCTACTTTTTCCTCTTGGATTTGGGGTTTCACCCTCAGTTTCCCCCTAGCGGAGGGGTTTCATTTTCGCGAATACCCTTGGCTCTGAGGCTTCACTGCTGCCTTTCCTTCTTGATTAGGGCGCCCCCTTTGTTTTCTTTTAGCTGTAGGGTTTCATCTTTGTCTTCTCTGTTGTTTTATTTCACTCTTGTTTTTCCTTTTAGCTGTGGGGCTTCATCCTTGTTTTTCCCTCAGGCTCTGGGGTTTCACCGAAGCTTCCACGTATTTTGGTGAAAAGCTTCACGACTGCATTGTTTCCTTCCCTTTTCTTTAATCAACGTTTAATGATTTGTGCAGTTATCTGGTGAAGATTATTGACTGAGCAAAAGAGCAAAATACACACGAGTGCGTAAGTGCAGTTTCTACTTCTGTCCTAAGCTGTGTAACAATTCTGCTTCAGTTGTCGCATCTTAGCAGGAACGAGGGACTGGCCATTTTGTTTTCCCGGTGACATCTATTCATCAGAACTTCCAAAGAGACGCGGTCATAATTATCGGCGGAGAAGGAATGCACAGCGAAATACTACTACTACTACTACTGCTCCTAATGCTGCTGTTGCTTCTGATAAGGAGGCTAATACTAATACTAGTACTATTACCTCTATTTGTACTTCTACTTTTCCCATTTTCCTGCTTCTGTTAGTATTACTATCATCATCACTACTATTATTACTACTTCTACTACTATTACTTGCTACAACTACTCCTACTACTATTAATTAATACGATTGCTACTACTGCTTCTACTACAATTACTTCCATCACTTCTGCTACTACAACTAGACTACTATTTTTACTAGTGTCCCTATTTCTACTCATACTGGCACTATTACTCCTACTGCTAATACTAATATATCTACTGCTACCACAACTACCACTACTACTCCTATTACTACTACTGCTACTTCTACAACTACCACAATCAAAAATTAGCTTTATCTAATCCAAACCCTAGGCTTGTTTTCACAGCGTGTTTCGAGTTAGAAATCTACGGGCATTCTCATCTCGTGAAACTCTGCGGCGCGGCACTGCATGTTTCAGTAGCCTACCACGAAGATGGGGAAGAAAGGGTGGAGGGGAAACGGAGGGGAATAGGGGATAGGGGAAAGGGAAAGGGAGTAAAATAAGACAGGGAAAAGCTTGAATGAAGAGAGGCAGGGGAGGAGAGGATGGAGAGAAGAGGAGAGATGGAGAGAGAGGAAGAAGAGAACCGCAGAAACTCATACAACCAGATTTCCCCTCTCCTCTCTCCTCTCTCTCCTTCTCTCTCTTCTCATCTCTCTCTCTCTCTCTGGCTGACTCTCATCTCTCTGCTCTCTCTTCGATCTACTCCTACTCGCTCTCTTCTGAGCTCCCCCCCGCCCCCTCTCTCTACTCCTAACTCTCCATCGTCTCGTGACTCTTCTCGGATCAATCTAAACGTGCATCTCTCACTCTCTTCTCTCTCTCTGGACCTCTCATCAAATCTCCTCAACTCAATCTCATATCGTCTCTTGTTATATATTCATTTGGTAAGCTCTATTTATATAGGCCATAATCTAACAATTTTCTTTAAAAATAAGCATATTACCTAAAAGATATGATGAAAATAAGCCAAATATATGGCATGTAAGTAATAAGAGACAACAGAGGGAACAAATGAAATGGTATGGTAATGGTCGAAGTGACTGAGTAAATGGAGGAAAAAGTGGGTTTTCGTCGAGGGATTATGTATGTCGCGGAAATAATGTGTGTACGGAAGATGAAATAAAAAATAGTGGGAAATGAGGATACGTGTGTGTTGTGTGGGTGCAAGTTTGTTGGTAGTTGGTGTGGGTGTATAAAAAAAAAGCGGATGTGAGGAATACGAATAAAGAGTGATGAGTATAGATGATGAAAGAGATAGATGATGTGTGTACCTTGTTTGTATTGTGGGTAAGAGTGAATGTGAGATGTAGGGTTAAGTAGGAGATCTGATAAAATAAGATATTGAGAGAAAGAATAGGGGAAACGACAAGATATGGGAGGTATAGTGGAAAAGGAGAAGAACGAGAAAAAAGAAAATAAAGGAGGAAATAAATAAAATTCAGATATATAAGGGTAGATAAATAAATAAAAGTGATAAGAGTAAAGTAGCTGAAGATAAAAGGAGAACTGGTCAGAGATGGACGTGCCTGGAGGGTATGGGAGGCTAGGTTCAGCTAATATGATTGTGATCATCAGATATACATTGTCTCAGTAATCAACGTAAAAGATTGTTCATATATAATATACAGGCATAGTTAATGAAATAATGGACATATAGGCCTGTAGTGAGAGACGTATGTGCAACCTGGCTAGGTCATCCACCGACGCGAGTTTGAGAGGGTGGGGGGAGAGGATGAACTTAATGGGCATGTGGCACATCTGAGCTCCACGTGCCTACATTCCTCTCTTTCGCTTTACTTTCCTTCTTTAATCTCTCTCTCATCTCTCTCTCTCTCTCTACTCTCTCTCTCCTCTCTCTCTCTCTCTCTCTCTCTCTCTCTCTCTCTCTATCAATTTCTCGAGCTGTTTCTCGAGGTCTCTCTCTCTCTAACGCTGTCACTTAATTAAGCTCTCTCTTTCTCTCTCTCTCTCTCCTCTCTTCTCTCTCTCAACACACGCACGCACAAACACACACACATTCTCTCTCTCTCACGTACAAACACACACAACACACATCCATCCCCCACTCACCCCACCCCACACAACAGATACATAATACACATTATTTATACATATACGCCATACAAACACACACACACACACACACACACACACACACACACACACACACACACGCACACACACACACTCTCATACCCACAAATACCTATACCCAACCCAAATACAGACATACACGTAAACACTCATACCCATATCCACACCCATATCACACGCGCGCGCACGCAAACACACACGCACACCGCACATACATGCACATCCACACCCACGCACACTAATCCACCCACGCCGATACCCACATCCACGCCAAAACAGACACCAACTCCCACACACGCACACCCCTCCCCCACTCGCACACTCACCCCTACCCCCTCCACACACGCACCACCCTCCTCCCCCCACAACCCCAAACAAAAGCTAGGACGAGGGACTTGTATGGAGGGGAAACATTCGCAAATCGAGTATTGATAACACCGAAATCCGTCTCCAATATTGGCACTGGAGATAAACCGCTTTCACTCCGGCGATTTGCACCCGCCTCCGCCCACCCAGCCCACCCAGCCACCCGTCCACTCACCGAGGACGCCCACCCACCCACCCCGCCCACCAGGCCGCCCACATCTCGAATTGTCAACCTGAAATCGGTGGGAAGGAATTGCATTTTATTGTGACGGAGGCGATGTGGTTGTGGGCGCGTTCAGCGGGGAGAGCCCGGGAGGACAGTGGGAGGGAGAGGGGAGAAGGGAGGGGGACAGTGGGGAGGAGGGAGAGGGAGGGGGACGAGGGAAGGGGGGGACGAGGGAAGGGAGGGAGGGAGGGAAGGGAGGGAGACGAGGGGAGGGAGACGAGGGAAGGGAGGGAGGACGAGGGAAGGGAGGGGGGACGAGGGAAGGGAGGGAGGACGAGGGGAGGGAGGGACGAAGGGAAGGGAGGGAGGACGAGGGAGGGAGGACGGGGGGACGAAGGGAAGGGAGGGGGGACGAGGGAAGGGAGGAGGAAGGGGAGGAGGGAGGGAGGACGAGGGAAGGGAGGAGGGAGGGAGGGACGAGGAAGGGAGGAGGGAGGGAAGAAGAGGAGGGAGGAGGGAAGGGAGGGAGGGGAGGAGGGAGGGAGAGGAGGGAGGAAGAGGGGAAGGGAGGAGGGAGGAGGGAGGGGAGAAGGGAGGGGGACAAGGGAAGGGACGGGAAGGGAGGAGGGAGGGAAGGGAAGGAGAGAGGGAAGAGAGAGAGAGGAGGAGGGAAGAGGGAGGGAGGACGAGGGAATGGGGGGGGGGGAGAGAGGAAAAGAAGGGAAGGAGAGAGATAGGAAAGGAGAGAGATAGAAAGGAGAGAGTAGAGAGAGAAGAAGGAGAGAAGAGAGAGAAGAGAGAGAGAGAGAGAGAGAGAGAGAGAAAGAGAGAGAAGAGAGAGAGAGAAGAGGGAGAGAAGAGAGAAGAGAGAGAGAGAGAGAGAGTGGAGAGAGAGAGAGAGAGAGAGAGGAGAGAGAGAGAGAGAGAGAGAGAGAGAGAGAGAGAGAGAGAGAGAGAGAGAGAGAGAGAGAGAGAGAGAGAGAGAGAGAGAGAGAGAGAGAGAGAGAGAGAGAGAGAGAGAGAGAGAGAGAGAGAGAGAGAGAGAGAGAGAGAGAGAGAGAGAGAGAGAGAGAGAGAGAGAGGGGGGGGGGGGAAAGCAAACGAGAGAGACAGGGAAGGAGGACTGCTGTTGGCGGCATGTTGTCACGGCAGTAAAGGTCATCCGAGACGACTTTCAAACACGCCATAACAGCCCCCTCAAAGAGCCCATTCACCCTTCACTCATTCAGCGCCCTCATACACGCCATTCTCATCCCCCCCTTCTTTAGCCCCCTTCTCCTTCTTCACCTAGATTCACTCAGCAACTTCTCTCCTTCAAACCCCCAATCTTTCTGTCTCTTTCTATCTATCTGTCTCGCCCATCTCTCCCCCCTCTGTCCCCCTTTCCTCTTTCCCCTCTCTCTACTACCTTCTTTCCCACTCTATATTTTCCTCCCCTTCTCCTACCCCTCCCTCCCTCCTTTCCTCCTCCTCGAATGTAGTTACCTCCCTCCTTCTCTCTCCCTTTCCTTCTTCCTCCTCATATCCCCTTCACATTCATACTCCCTCCCTCTCTCGCTTTCCTCCCATACTTCCCCCCCTCCCCCCCTCCCCCTCCTCCCTCCTCCCCTCCTCCCCTCCCCTCCCTCCCGGCTCCTCTCCCCTCCAGCTTCTCGCCTCCAGCCATGGGGGAGACGATGAGGGTCTCGTTGCCCAGCTGAATGATGCCGGCCAGTCCGTTGCATGTTCTGAAGGCCGCGATGGCACCGGAGTAGTCCTTGACGGTGCCGTGGTAGTAGCAGTGCTCGATCTGGGGAGAAAGAGAACGGGAGTCAGTTCGGTGAGGCTCTCGCGTGGGCTGGCTTGGGTTGGTTTCGAAGGGGATTCCGTCGGGTCTCGAAGTAAACTGGTTTCGAGAGCCGCTGGTTTCATTCGAAGGCGTTGGCACAAAGGGGCCTTTTTGACTGCTTTAATGTCGGAGATTGTTGGGGTTAACGAACAGAGGAACAAGGAAAAACCGTGATGAAGGTAGAAAGGAATGAAGAAGATGGAGGGCGACGGATGTGAGGAAGGGGCAGCGAAGAGTGAGGGAGAGGTTGATGGAGATAGGGAGAGTGGGAGAGATGGAGAGAGGGACAGAGAAGGAGAGATAGATAGATAAATACATAGATAGAAAGAGAGGCAAAGAGAGAAGAAAGTGAGAGAGAGAGGGAGGAGACAAAAAAGAAGTAATCAAAACCAAAGGCCATTGGCCTAAGAAACCCCAACCGAACCGCAATCCTTCCCTAGACCCCTCGGCCCCCTTCCCCTCCCCTTC